TGTTATTGTATATTCTTGCTTGTTGCTTTGTTTGTTTTTTTTGTTTTGTTTGTATTTTGCAGTGTCCTGGAGGGCCAGTCCACCCTCGGATGGCCGAAATGTAGTGCCGATCGCTTGGAGCCGTGATGAAAACCAGATGCCGTGACGTCATTCTCTCTACGAGCTGCGAAGGCGCCAAGCAAAAATTAGGGGAATTACCGTTTTGAGATGATAGACGATTGACGTGAAAGCAGAGACGCTGCTTCTGTTCAAAAAGAACTTTGACGAATCATTACTTGTTTAATTCTCTTAAATGTTAAATTTATGTAATAATCGTTTGTCTAATTAAAATGTCTTTCGTTAATTAATTTGTTCATCGTTTAAAATCCCCACATATATATATATGTATGTATGAATACAAAAATGAACATTGCCAAACAGTTTATTTGAAGTTTGCACAACTGATTATCACCTTCATGTCTGTTTACATAATGAATTGTACTTTCCAATTAAGTGCACGGGCCTACTAGTGGCCGAAGTGTCGTTGAACACTGGTAGTTCTGTCTCAGGTTAGAATGCTGCGAATGGACTTGCTACATGGGCGTTTTCTTGGTTTTCCCTATTTGTAACTGGTATACGAGCCAGTTTTAAAAAATCTTCTACAAAGGGATTCCTCTTGTTAGGCAGATAATCTTCGAGGCTTTGCCGTAATCACATAAAACAAACTCATGATGTGCACCACCTAATTTCTAGAGTTGGTATAATTAATGTGTTTTAGGTATATTACAGAGTGTTCTATGGGACAGTAAACAACTCGCACATGCTTGATTGCTCATGTATTCATATGCTTTATTTGATCTTCATTTTGCTGAATAGTATCTGCTGGCTGTGAAGATGCAAATATCAGGCATATAGATTTTTTTCATAGAAGGTCCCTCTTTTTTTTTTTTTTTTGTCTGTTTGTTTGTTTGAATGGACAGAACAGTAATTACGAGCCATAAAGTTAGTCAAGAAAATGCTTTCACCAGGTCACAAATTTTTCAGTGAGCCATCAAATTTTCATTTGAATGCAGACAACAGAAAATGCTCATAAGTAATGTCTGATAAATAGACTTATCCAGCACAAGTTTTAAACTATTCTTAGTGTATACAGAATTTGGCTATTACTGATGTAATTGATTGCTATAACCAGAAGTGTGTTTATCTTGTTACTTGAAATGCCAGAGTGGAGAATAAAGTGATTAACTTGATAGTAATCACCTTTCTATTATCTTCCATAACTAACAATAAAGTTTAAAATGAAAAGAGTGTAAGCGATACAAAACAACACGAAGAAGCAAAAGTTACTTGAAAGGAAACGTCACTTTCGCCAATCTGAGCGATAACTGATTCTTGTTTGGCTTTCAGCCTGTTTACCAAGTGAAGATGGTAACCCTATTTCGCGAATCTCAGAACCGTTCCACCAAACGTTTTGTTTCGGCAACAAATATCGTATGTGAGAGGGGTTTTACAGTCATGTGCAAAAGTTTAAGACCACACATGGAAAAATCAGATTTATTGGAATTCCGCCACAAAAACATATGTTATAAATGAAAAAAATAGACTTACAAGGTTATTGAAGTATAGTCAGTATTTTGTCGGACCTCCTTTATTTTTTTGTCACTGCTGCAATCCTTTTAGGCATGCTATGAACAAGAGACTGGCAGTAAGCTTGAGAAATCTCTGTACACTACACATGCTTTATTGCTCGAACAAGTTCTGTAGCAGTGGATGGTAGCTTCCCCGAGACTTTATTTTTCACAATACACCACAGATTCTCTATGGTATTCAAATCTGGGCTGTTACCTGGCCAATCAAGCACCTGGATTTGAGTAGTCCTCAGATAGTCCTTAACATTCTTTGCCCTGTGACATGGAGCCCCATCATGCAAGAAAATTGAGTATCTGTGAACATCTAAGTGAAACTTCAACTTGTCACGTAACAAATTAAGGTACCGACTGCCGTTCATCATGGTTTTAGGTGGCAGGAAATATACAGCAGCAGTAGCAGATGCAGACATTGCACCCCATATCATCTGGCTTGGAGGGTGTTTCACTGTTGGAATCATATATCTGTCATCATATCTCTTTTCAAATGGGTGGCGAATACATTTAGCACGTACAGAAAATTGTTGCACACTTGGACTCATCGGAAAATAACACTGTAGTCCACTGTTGTTCGGTCCAATTCTGATATTGTCTGGCGAAAGTCAGTCGTTCCTTTTTCATACTTTGAGTAAGTCGAGGTTTCCTTGCAGTTTATAGGAAAATAAACCATTTTTAGTCAAAGTCTTGAAATAGTACTTGAACTAATGTTGGGACCCTTTGAAGCCAGAGCAGTTCTAATTTTATTGCAGGATGTTGTTGAACATTGAGTGATCATCTTTTTATCACAGATCATCACATGGAAAAGTGCTTGTCACATGCACAAGTTTCTTGAGCGACCGCTTCTCTTAAGATCCGTATAATTTCCTGAAATTTTGAATTTACTGATAGATTGATGCACGCTTTGCTGACATTTACCTTCAAACTTATTTCACATTCAGAAAAGCCAACTTCATGCAGGGCCTCTATTTTTTCCCATTTTTCAACAGTAAGTAAGTGAAGGTTTTTTACCCATTACAAGAATTATAAAACAGCACTGTGTATGTAAAATCCAATAATGAATTACTGATAAATGAGACCATGTTCTATTTAGAGCAGTAGAAAGCGTTTGATGAAATCAAAGCATGAGATCACGCAATCACAAGCGAAAATGGAGCAATCTGTTAAAATAAAGGAAAACGGCTACTGGTCTTAAATCTTTGCACATGACTGTATTATTACAGCTATAGTATCAAAATTAAAGTCTGAATTTTTGATTGTTGTAAAAAAAAAAAAAAAGGTTTCTAATTCTGCAATTGTAGTAGGATCTGCAAAGCAAAAGCATATTTGATACTTGACTTCTATAGTGGTTTTGGCACGAGAAAATGGCACTAGTGCAATTCAGGCTTAAGAATACAAAATTTCAAAATTAGGCAAAGCTGCAACCTTACTTTGGCATAATTTTAATTGCTATTAATGCAAAACTTTCTAATTAATGGAATTTGTGAAGATATATGAAGAAACAGTAACAAATGAAGATGATATACCAGAAGTTTTCCACAGCAATGATAATGCCCCAATCAGTAATCAACTAATGGATAGAAAACTTTGTACTACTGTTTTAACTTCAGAAAATGCCACTACTAGTAGGATAAAAGTGACTAAAAGATTTTTGAGAATGAAAAGATTTCAAATGACAATTTGGTAGTAATTTTTGACACAGTGATTAAAGGACTTGAGCAATGGAACTTTGTAACTGAACAAGAAATTATGTCCATCCATAAAATTAAAGAAAAAAATGTTTAATAAAACAAATAAATATTGAGCTTTCCTTTTACATGTGTCATCTTACTAAATTTAAGCTGATTTTGAACTTTGTATTGTTACTGTCTCAAATAAATATTTGGACACCTTTGATTTCTAAAACTAATGACAAAAGTTTTTAATATATGAAGCTTTTCTTCAGCAATATATTGATTACATTGACATCTACTAGTATATGTCATACAGTCAAAAGTCAATCCGGACTCGTCGGGACTTCAGCGATTCCGGATTATTGATTTTTCCAGATTATAGATCATCAGTTTAAATCTCGTAAGATGACATGCAGAAATTATAAAATTAAAAATATGAAACCATAATTTATGAAATAAAGAACAATTATAATTTAAAGGGTATCAAAATTTACAAAAAAAAGCTTAATATTTATTTGTTTACTTTATTAAACATTTCTTTCAATGTAAGTTGTTTAAGTTGCTTCGTTTTATGTGATAATACTTTCTCTTCAATTCTATAAACAGACATGATTTCTTGTTCAGTTACAAAGTTCCGCTGTTCAAGTCTCGTTAATTGCTGTGCCGAGAATACCGACTAACTTGTCAATCGAAACTTTTGTTTTCACTAACCTTTCTGTCACATTCTTCATGTCTTTATCCATTTTTTGCAGCAATTCCACTTTTTGTTTGATGGACATCGAAACATACTTTCATTTTGTATGATCCTTTGGGGAGCTCCAGAATCGGAAATTCTATTTGACATAATCAAAAGTTCAAGTTTACTTTTATAAAATTGCTCTTACAGTCTGCAAAAAATAATAAGCCGGATCCAATTCGAAGATTAAGGAACAACGCAATCATCAACATTAACTGAAATATATAATTAGATAATTTTAGCTTATACCGTCCTGTTATACATAAAAAGCGCACGCGAAAACGTTTTCTGCACTTGCGCACACGCATAGGCGCAGTCGTAAAAGGTCTTATGCGCATGTGTCAACGCGGCGCATGCACAGAAAGTTTTTAGCTTTGAGGTCCGGATTATGGGTGCCCGAATTAACGACTTTTGACTGTATTTATTGGCTTAGTCATATATTCTGATACTCATACATCTCAATACATTTTCAGCAGTCACAGTATTATAAACTTTATACGTTTAAAGATTCTGCAGTCTAACAGACAGAACTTTAATGCTAATTATCAACTACTAATGTTGATTTTTTAAGATTGTACAACAGATTAGTTGCCCATTTTATTCAGAAAAAGCTTATAAGTGATTCTTTTCCACAAAAAAAAATACATAAAAATTCCACAGCCTAGTACTGCCAGGCTAAAATCAAGTGCTCAAACACACATTATCATATAAGGAATTCATATTTCCATATAGTAATTATTGGTAAAATAAATTGTTACAGCTGAAATTCAATTATTTACCTTGCCAAATCTAATTTCTATTGTAGCTAACCAGTCCTTATAGAAACTAGCTTTGTAAAGATGAAACTATTTGTAAAACATTTATTAAAAATTTCAAGTATTTCAATTTAGTAATATGTCAAACATATTTCTGATACTGTTAAATATTCTTATTACTGCATATTTCAACTAGGTATGAAACATTTAATACCACCAAAGTCCCAGAAATGCAGGCTTGATTCATAAGTAATATGGACATGATCTGAACTGACAAAAACAATGCAAAGCAAGATCCTTCATGCACTGCTCTTCAAACCTGAAATTAAACAGAAAGTAACTTTCAGTTTATGATTTTATACAATGTAAATGTTGAGAAAATTCCGTGACAAACTATGATAAATAGATTTTTAATTTTAGGCAACATAAATTATAAAATTAGCTTTATTTATATTTTTTATTAAAACAAATTTATTCCTAAAACTATAAAATATTTTGAGGTTTAAAAAATTTTTTTTTTCCAAGCATTTGAATTCAATAAAGAATAATTGCTAAAAAATGATAACTAAATCAAAAGAATTAAAGAAATAAATCCAAGCAACAGTACAGAATCAATAAATGTCCTCTACTTAAGCAACATTACTTCTGCCAATCACACTTGGATGAATCAATAAATGGTATCAAGGTCAAACAGAGTGCAACTTCTCCCTTACAGATCAATAAATAGTAAGAATAGACAACAAATAAAACATTCATGTAAAAGAATTAGAAAAATCTTTCACTGAGTAACATATTGTCTTTTCAGAAACAGCAAATTCCACCATGACTTCAATTTTAATAATACTATAAAAGGAGAAATATACCACATATTTCACATTCAAGTCTGACTCAGACTAGAATATCTTTTAAAACAGCAATCTTTTTTTTTTTTTTTTTTTTTTTTTTTTAAACATTTAACTTAAAAACAAATATGAGAAATGGGGGTATTCTCAGTATTTACAGGAATAATTAATCACAGTTTTAATTATCCTTAAAATTAAACGAATCAAATATATTTAAATCATAATTACTATTTAATTATAGTTTTAAACGTATATCTCTAGCAGTATAAATTAACAACTAATTTTACTAGCTACATTAAATCAAGTTTTATTTTTCAGAAAAGGGGGGCTATATTCTAACAAATAATGATTCGCATTATCATGATTGTCTAGCTCTTCAAATCATTATTAAAATCATCTAAAGAAAATTTATAACTTTGAAAAATCTTGCATTTATTCCTAATCAATAACACAAAGAAATGTAATAGATCAACATTCGAAACTCACAGCAAATCAAAAACAGAGAATAAGCATGGTCAAAGAGACCTAGACATCTAATATAAATCACTGAACACCTAAGAAAAGTACAACGGAAAAAGTGTACTGCATGCACTGTCTGAAGTGAGTAGCTAAACACCTTTAAATTCCAAAAGTTCTAGAAAAATGAGTGTATTAGCTAGTTTTTCATTTCATTTTTTTTACTTCTAAAATATTTTTCCCAAGATAAAACTTTAGATCTAAAATATCTTGAGAGAGAAATTATGTTACAAATGTTTTCCAATGCTAATGAAATAATATCTATATCATATCCAATATATAAGTTTATGGCATTTTGTATCACAGCAAACAATAGCCATTGAGAAGCATAATATAAAAAAATTAATTTTTGAACTTACAGAGTCATTTCATTTCCAGTGCTTACATTATTCTGTATATTTGAACTATTACTATTTATACTAATATACAAAATTATATTAGTACTCATTTAATTTTGTATATTAGTATAAATAGTTATCACACACACAGTTAACATTTAAAAATTCATTCTGAACTCTCAGAATGAGTTTTCTTAGAATTTATGTATTTCAACATTCTGTTACAATACCATTAGAAATTCATATGTTATTTTTTAATGTATGAGACTATGAAAATGCTGAAATGGTAATTTAAAATGTTTAATAATTTCTGAAATTATAAAAATTATTATAAGCATGGTAGAATTAAAAAAGAACAGATTTAATCTGCAGTACTGGACACATTGGCTGCATGAAAAGATAAAATTTCTATACCAGTCTTTAAAAAAATCTTATTTTAAGTAATAAGAGTTTAGTAAATGCTACTAAATATACTTATTTATTTAGTAAATGCTACTAAATATGTTGGTTTAATTATGGCAATGCATACAACAAGAGCTGTCTGCTTAAAGGGAGGGTTAGTTTGGACAATATTTTAAAAAAGAAATGGGCTTGTATTCACATTACAGTATATGGGAAAAATAATAAAAGCACTTCAACAATCAGCCCGTTCACCAGGAAAGTGATATTTGAAACATTCTAATTCAGCATGTTTGATTAGAATGAACATGGTGAAAACACATAGATGAATTTCAGAAAATAAACTAATTCCAGAAGTAAAACCAGGTAGTTCTACTCTTCAGGAAAATTAATTACAAATATAGCAAATTTTGTTAATAAAGGTATAAAGCTTTTTTTAATTTAATTTACATAAGTATAATGAACATTTTACTAGCTGGCATTTTTGCAGTAAGAGCACAATAAAAAAATAAATTTTTGAACTTACAGAGTCATTTCATTTCCAGTGCTTACATTATTGTCATAAAAATTTCAGTATTGTCAAAAAATATGGAATTATTTAATAGGCTAAGCTTTTAAGCTGACAATTCTAAAATTCATTCAAAATGTCAGTATATTTTTACTAAGCCATTGCACTATTAATAAAGTTAAAAATTTGTTTTGATTGCATAATATGTATTCTCATAGCATACTTCAATATTTGTGCTTCAGCCAAATACCTGTTGATACACTGCCAAACTTGCTACCTAGCTCTGTCTTGTGAGCATTAAGCAACCCTGAAAGCTGTTCCAGAAGAGCCCTAAAAGCTTTTCTTTTCTTAAGATCCTTTATTTTTTACTTTTTTCCTGGGAGGTGTTAAGGGCACTGGGAAATGGCCTTTTTTTAAATTATTATTTCAATGTCAACTTCAGACCAATTAAAATAAGCATGTATTTGCTTTGCATTCTTAGCCCAAAGGGCCAATTTGCCCAGAAGGGCTATTAATTTCATTTTGGCATTTGCAATGATTCACCATAAACTGTGTTTAACTTTTCAAATTTTAACACCAAATATTAGAGCCCTGCATTATATTTAATGAAATTAAGTGATGAAGAATCTGCACGAATGTATGTATGTTTCTCACACTGTGGAAAAAACCATGGTACCTAAAGACATCAAATTTTGAATAAAGTAGTCCTTCACTCGAATATGGGTATCTGGGAGCCCAAATTTTAAATTTGTTTTATTATCTCTTTCATATTTTCATACTTGCCAACCTATGACACTCAAAAATCAGGAGATGTTTTTAAGAAATCAGGAGATTTTTCACAATGTTATAAAGACTTTTTAAATGAGGAAAATATAGTTTTTAATAATGAATTAACTTTAAATAGTAACTAATTCTTAAATGCAAGGAACACAAAATACCGTACACATAAAAAACATTTTTATTACTTGCATCGCTTAAGTAACCAAAAAAAAAAAAAAAAAAAACTTTTAATCAGTTTTCGTACAAATGGTATAAACAGTGGCAGATTTTGTTTCTTTAAGAAAGAACTTAATAATTTTGTCATAGCAAGTGCCACGTAGGCCGCTTCACTAATAAAAGTTTCTAATGTGTCACACTAATATTAGATCTAAATTTAGTCCTCGTTTTCGCAACAACACTGAAAATCTCACACTCTGCTTACTATGGGGAACTGTCAAGATGGCCAACATAATTCTAGACAGTTCATAATTTAAAATTCCATCAGCATCTTCAGTTTTCCAATTAAACTCCACTGGGTGTCAATCCTCACTGATTTTAGAACTCATCCAAGTTTTCTAATTGTAAATGCTGTTATGCAAGCTGTTGGACCTGTTCATTTTTCCTCCTTTTTAGAACTCCTTTCAGATAATAATAAATATCAACAATGTGTTCATCCACATTTATGGTAAAGAAGCTTCCTTTTCAGCTGGCTAAATTTAAGAGGTGACAGGTGCACCTCATAATCTGCAAATCTGAATTTTCTTTCCGAAGATGCTTGCAACACCAGTCTTCAAGCCTACCAATACGGTGCATTATCGACACAAGTGCTAAGCAATTATGCAGAGGAGTGCTTTTCTTTTTAAAGTTTTAATAATTAGCTGTGCTATTTAAAGCCTGTCAAATGTCCTTCTAAAGTGAGACAGAAAGTAACTGCACTCAATTTCTGAAGACTCTGGATTAAAAAAGAAACAACAATTGGATACAGTTTGAATCGGTATTATTGCTTCCATCCGTTGAGGCAGAACGGAGCTGTTTAATGCAATCATAAACTGAAGATTTATTTCAAATCCATTTCTTTAACAATGCACCTCTTTGTTCTTGCACTTAAGTATTTTTAGCGATTTCATTATCGGTAAACATTTTCTAAATAAAGCTGCAGCGTGATCCGATGCATTCAGTGACAGGTTGTGCTCCAGTAAAATGGCAGAGAACAAACATTCTGCATTAATAACTTTTTAATCCTTTGTTTCCGAAATTTTTTTTTTTTTTTTTTTTTTTTTTTTTTTTTTTTAAACTCATGTTGCCCTTGTGTTTTTGTGTAAGCACATGTTTGAGAACATCCGCCCTTCCACCATGCGAAATCGAAAAATCGTAACGACAGGCGGTACACGTCGCAAATTTGTACATTTCTTGAGGAAATAATGGAAGGAAGTAACTGTGTACAATTTTTGAAACGTACACGAGTATTTCACCTTTCTCGCAGACATAACAAAAGATGATACTTTCTAAAACTATTTCCCGAAGGCACGTGTACTCACACAACTCAGGACAAAATGACCGAAATAACTAAAGAACATACAAATAACACATGAGCTTGCTTTGTGCATCATTGGCTAATATATGCCAGATGACATGCAGTGGAGCACGATGCCCATTGGAAGAACTGGAGAAGGACGTTTCTGGTATACGTATATGCTCTCACTCACAAAGCAGAAAGTTATCTAATTCGCAATTCACATAGATTTTGTTTTAGATATAATCTAGAGAAATTCAATTTCTTTTAGACGTCCAAAATCACTTTTTTTTTTTTAACAAAGTTTTTTTGGTCTCATATTAACAAAGTCGTATAAGCCAATTTTAAGAATAAGAAAAAGTCGGGAGAAATAATTGAATCGGTTGGCAGGAGAGCGGTCGAAAATCGGGAGAGTTGGCAAGTCTGTATTTTGTAAAACTTTAA